TAGTAAGAGATTTTCTAATGATTATTGTTATTTTTTTGTGAAGTTTGATATTCTGAGAATTATGTTCTGGACTAGCCAGGCACACACCATCATTCGGCATTATTATTATTATTATTATTATTATTATCATTATTATTATTATTATTATTATTATTATTATTATTATTATTATTATTATTATTATTATTATTATTATTATTATTATTATATCACTTCTGTGTCTGCTATTAGCCCTAAATTGTCCATTGACTGTAAGCCACAATATCTGCCTCCATAGCAATTGTTGATAAAAACTGACAAATTATCAGAAATCTCATACGTGATCACTACAAATTTTATCAGCTAATTTTAGGGTTAAAGGTCAGCATTTAGTTATGGAGTGGAACAATTTGTTGTTGTTGTTAATTTGTGATCCATTCTGTTGAAATAAACAAAACAAATATTGCACTTAACAAAATTATCACTTTCTGCATTAATCAGTATGTTTTTTGTTTGTTTTTTATTATCTCTGTTAACCTCCTGTTCTTCTTGGTCATCAGGTCATAGACATTGTTACAGTGTCATCTAGGTGTGCCTGCTAGACTGTAGCGGTCTCTAATGCCACACATCCAGTACTGCACTCAGAGCAGGATGTGGCTGAAAGATGCTGATTGTCTGTCTGTCTGTCTGTCTGTCTGTCTGTCTGTCTGTCTGTCTGTCTGTCTGTCTGTCTGTCTGTCTGTCTGTCTGTTTCAGCCATCATCCATGATGTTACAGAGAAAAAACTTGAGGAGACTGAAGAGTTGGAGACACAGTCAACCAGAGACTGACACTTGTTTCATTGACTAAAACACTACGACGTATCCTTGTGTTTGTTTTGTTTTGTTTTTATCTCTGCGGTGACATGCTACATTTCAAATGATTAGCAGAGAATTCAAATGAGTTTTCATTTTATTTATTTTTTGGAATTAATTGTAATGTATTATATATCACATGTTTGTATACATTATGAAGAGCCCCTGCAACTTCTCTAAAAAGCTGACAGTATCTTCAGTGATTGAAGCAGATTGTTTTCATTTTCCAAAGTGCATTTTGTGGTAAAAGGCAAAAATAAGCAAAACTGGCTCAAGAATTACATTTTCTTGACATATACAGTCATGGAAAAAATAATAGACCACTCTTGTTTTCTTCAATTTCTTGTTCATTGCCTGGTACAACGAAAGGTACATTTGTTTGGACAAATATAATGATAACAACAAAAATAGCTCATAAGAGTTTAATTTAAAAGCTGATATCTAGCCATTTTCCATGGTTTACTTGATAATAACCAAAATCACTTAAGTTCTTAAATGAAAAGTTATGGCATTGTACTGCCCTTGCATTTGCCCTGTTCCACCCATACAACAACCCCAAATTGTCACTGATCAACCCCCATGTTTTACAGGGATAACTGGCTTGTGGCGGCCAAGCGTTCATAGCGACGTCGCTTTTTGATCCTTCGATGTCGGCTCTTCCTATCATTGTGAAGCAGAATTCACCAAACGTTGGATTGTTCACCTACTAATAGGGAACGTGAGCTGGGTTTAGACCGTCGTGAGACAGGTTAGTTTTACCCAAGACAGTCTGGTTTGTAGGCTTGTCCAGGCTTCCTCCTAACCAAAAAGTTGGCTGGAGTTGGCACCAACTGAACATTGGATTCATCACTACAGAGAACCTTAGCCCAATGATCAACAGTCCAATCCTTGTGATCCCCAACAAAGAGCAACAGGGCTTTCCTCTGCCTTTCGTTGATGAAGGGCTTCTTTTGTGCCCTGCGTGACTTCAGACCAGCTTCAAGAAGTCCGTTTCGAACTGTCCTTGCCAAACAAGTCACATTTCTCAACAGTGCCCACTCATTTTTAAGGTCCCTGGAGGTCTGACAATGATTCCTGACACAGGAACGGATGAGTCCACGGTCATCTCATGGGGTAGAAAGATGTTTCCTGCCGCAACCAGCTAGCAATTTGGTAGTGTAGTAGTGTGCAGCATGGGTTCTCTCCAAGTTCTCCGGCTTCCTCCCACAAGTCCAAAAAACATCCATCCATTATCTATACAATGCTTAATCCTCATTAGGGTCGCGGGGGGGCTGGAACCTATCCCAGTTGACTTAGGGTGAAGGCAGGGGACACCCTGGACAGGTCGCCAGTCTATCGCAAGGCTACACTTAGAGACAGACAACCAAGCACACTCATATTCACACCTACGGACAATTTAGAATCACCAATCAACCTTAACATGTTTTTGGACGCTGCACGGGGAGAACATGCAAACTGAACATGCAAACTCCACGCAGAAAGATCCCAGTGCCCCCACCGGGACGCGAACCGGCGACCTTCTTGCTGCGAGGCAACAGTACTAACCAACTGCACCATCTTGCAGCCCCTCCAAAAAACATGTTGAGTGTAGCCCTTTGATAGACTGGCGACCTCTCCAGGGTGTCCCCTGCCTTCGCCCTAAGTCGGCTGGGATAGGCTCCAGCCACACTGACAGAACAATGCCAAATAAAATCCATAAGCACAGAACAGCCATCCAGAAAAGTACTCTGCAGTGGCAACAGTGATGGGTATGACACAGAAGTATAATAACAGGGAGGAAGGTCATTGGATCATTTCCCAGCATGCATTTTCTGTTGTTACTGTTGAGAAGGTAGCAACCAAATTAAATTGGTAGTGTATAGTACTATAGTACTATTTATAGACATGTCATTTTTGAATACTTAAATAAAATAAAATCTAAATAAAGGGGTGAGGCGTCAGGGCAACACTCAAAACCTTAAGTGTAACACAAAATGTGAGCGCTATTAACCAATGAAGATCGTTACATCAGGTGAATTGTGAGTGGTCTCACTGTACTGGCATCAAATAGGGCCGTCTACATCACGGGGGCCACAATATGGGCGGTAGTTATGCTAATAAAAAGAGAACCATAAACAATGTGCATCAATTGCAGAAACTGATAATGTAAATAAACAAAAATTAAAAGTAAAAATACTCTGCTATCAGGCGCCGCTATAGCTCACCTGGTTGAGCTGGCGTCCCATGTGCAGGGCAACAGTCCCAATGTGGAGGTCATGAGTTCGATTCTCACTCATGACCCTTTCCCACATGTCCTCCCTACTTTCCTGTCTCTCTCTGACTAAAGCTATCTAATAAAGGCACAAAGGCCAAAAAAATAACTATAAAACATGTATATTCTGCTTTAAAATATTGTATTGTGAAGTTACAGCTACTTACTGGCAACCTTTATTGGCAGGTAAATTCTGTAATTTTAACAGCATACAAGATAATGTAAACAAGATTACAATAAATTGCCACTTTTCTGTAAAAAGACAATAAATTACTGTAATTTATATACAGCAAAAACCTGTAAAAGGTATCCTGTAATATACTGTAATTGTTTTTACAGTAATCAACTGCAGTGTTGACAAAACTTTGTTGGCAACTTTTTTGCCAGGTATTTACTGTAAATTCTACAGTAAATTATTTACAGTGCAGGTATACAGAATGTGCTCATTTTACTGCATACTGGAGAAGAGGCGTTATCCTAAAAAGAACGGTTCTGATACAGTTATTAGTCATAGAGCAGGTGAAAAACAACTTTATAGGAGCTCCAGATATTCACAGTACACTCCGGGAAGTGCCCTCTTGTGACTTTATCGATTTGCATCCGGCATTACTCTACAAACAGATAATTTAGGTGCAGCAACAGACCAATTCAAGAATATTTTGCTTTGCTCAAACTAGAGATGAGACTTTTCTGCTTTATTATGTCATTGTTCATAAACGAATTTATTTAGAATGCTACCTCCCTTTCATTCTTCTAAAACTGCTATAGATGAGGGAAGAATGACTACAATGACGATGAAACCGGTAGTTGAGGAAGACGATGTAGTGTTAGGCAGGTCTGTCATACCGCTCTTTGGTTAGGTATGGTGCGAAGTAGGTCTAACTTCGGATATATACGGTTCTATTTTAATCCTGTCACTTCATTGGTCAGCTCAGTGATGACGCCTCCCTCTTTGGCGGCGCCGTGAAACAGCAGCTGAGTAGGTTCGGTGATGAACTGTGAAGCTTCCGACTCCTCAGTAGTACAGCAGTGTGATGAGGTCCAAACGTATTTATTCAACACCACAGCTTGTATCACCTGATATAGGTCAGCTGATTTTAGTGTCATAAATTCGTTTTCTAACACTAATAAAACCAAAATGTAGTGTCAGACTGAAAATATTACCAGATTTCTCAGATTCCTCACGTGTCATAGAAAGTCATGTTTTATGTAGGCTATTGTTTGTAGAGCTGAAAACTACAAAATAGCAAAGAACGCGTTCAAATTGGTAGCCTAATAAATAAATACATGCATAAGCTTCTTTTGCTATTGTAACAATGTTTTTTTTTATTTCAAGCCATACAATAAACATACGTATGAAGCGACATACACTAATGAAATATAGAATAGCTTAAAAAAACAACAAAAACCTCATTTGGCAAGCTTTTGAGCTTAGCTATTGTCACAGTGAGGGAGTAATCACTGGAAGAGACAAGTGTCACAGAATGATTAGTAAACCACAAAGGTCTACTGGCTTGAAATAATTAGTATTTTACCGGGGCTCATGTTTTCATCACACCAGAGATACAGTCGTTCACATTTTAGGCTGTTCGTTTTATTGACATCCTTTTGTAAAGTGGGTCAATGCAAAATCTTCAATAGTCATGGCAACGGACTCAATTTTAAATGTTCAAATAACTTTTTTTTTTTTTTTTTTTCCTGAATTCAAAACTACAAAATGTATTTGGTGAAAACTCGTCTGCGGTAACAGTGTCTGATAAACAATGCTCAACTGTCTGCTGCCGTTCTCTGAACCTGCGCTCGGACCGGTGACAGCAGCCTGGCCGGCGGCCCGGCGAGATGGAGGAGCGCCATATTGCGGCTGACTGAGCAGAGGGAGGGGAAATCTGGAGATCTGCGGCTGCGAGTCGCTAACCGTTCTACAAAGCGTTTCGCCATCTCCAAAGCACGTCAGCTCCGGTAAGAATTTACTAAGGTGGTGCAGCTGGGTCGTAGCCTCCTGACAGCGCAGCATGCTGGAAGCGGCGCAACAAGCTACAGGCCACTTTTGGCACTTTGTCCGTGCGCTCTTTGCTGCTCTGCACAAAGCAGACAAATCACACAACAGGTGTCTGTCGGATTACAGTGAGAATGTAGCTGCCTGGATACAGCTCAAAGGAAGGCGTCATGGCATCCTGAGCTGAAGAGACTGGGCTTTAGTCTCTCGACAGTTTTTCGGTCTGTTTTATTATAAAGTCTTCGGTGGAAAAGGCGGAATTTGTAGCCAGCCAGCCTTGAATCGTTTCCCTGTCGCGGTGGATGTGTGCTCAACGCAAACAGAACCTTCCCGAAGAAATATTTCCTGATGATCACAACTTTGTTCCATGTCCTTACACTGTATCTACGTGTAAAGGTTTTTTTGTGATGTATGTTGTGTAACGCGACATTGTTTCTTTTTTCTTAAAAACCACTTTGATGAGCGATACCGAGAAATATTGACACGCAAGGCTTCCGTTTATCTGAAATGGGGTGTGGGTTCGTAAGCGACTGGAGTTTTGATATTAAAAGTGTAAAACAGAGACGGGTGGGGTCCAGAAGTTTAATCATAGTGGTGGGTAAGGCACGTTGAGTTCCAATTTTAACCTGCATGATGCTTGCCTGGGTGATTCAACTGTGTCAAGGTAAAACAAGAATGGAAGAATTCTGGTGTCCAATTTCAGAATAAAATCCTCAGCAAGTGGTGTTTTAGAGCTGGGTTTAAACATACGATATCGAAGTCTGTAGAGACATATGGTTATATGAGTTGTATTGAAAGATACACAGCAGGTTTTAAGTTCCTCTAAACTAGGCATGCTACCGATCCACAAAGTTGATTTTACTATAAGAATAATAAAAACAGTTGATTGGAAAACAGGGTCCCCAAGGTCCAGCTAGAGTGACTTTGGATTTAAGTCTGCCACTTCAGCCACACAGTTTCAAGATCCTCTTCCCCTTTACAGGAAACAACAACAGCCTCTGATCAGCAACATACATGCTGGAAATGATTTGGAGGGTGCAATAAGGCAGGCCTTCTTCTTTCTTTTGGGGAATTAGCCATTTTAATGGCAGTGGTTGCCTCCCTGCGCGCAAATGAGCACTTGACTGAAATGGTCTTTCTGGGGCCAAAACCAATGATTGGTAAGAAAGGAAGACAAATAAACAATACTTGGAACAGATATACATTAAATGTTATGTATTAACGACATGTGATGGCAGGGAACCTGCCTTTCATAATTAGGCTTCTCTTAATTAATCTTATTAATGAAAGGCGTCACGGGTCCAGAGAGCTCAGAGGCAGAGCAAACCTCTTAGTGATAGCCTTAGAAACCATCAGCAATATATGTTCTAGTTTCACTGACCCAACAAGTGAATTATTCAGGCATTTTTAGTGTAACAGGGAAACTGGGAATGTTTGTGTAAGACTGTGGTGTTGTTTACAACTTCAGCAAAATGTGCTACCTCATCAATCCCTGCCCGTAAACAGTAGCTTTCTGTGTTGACTTGTGACTTGTAATCAATCAGATAGTGATATGGCTGGAACATTGTTTGAGATCACAGAGTGACTGCAGAGAGAGCCGGCTACATCAGAGCCAAAGTAGCACATTTAGTTCATTTTATCTTTACCTGCTAAATAGAAATATTGACACAGATAATTGTAAAAATGTTAAATATTGGCCCCAATAATTGGCCAGATCAATAATCTGTCAATCCCTTGTGCAAATGTTTCACCTCAACAATTTGCCCATTGCTATTTTGCAGCCCTGCTTCTTGGGTTTAGCACTGCCCAAGACAAATGCAATCGGTTTAAAACAAATACAAACAATCCAGAACATTTTACTTCCTATAACAGACTGACTGTGAGTTCAGCCAAACCATTCTGCAGCTCTTACACAGCCCTGTAGGGATAAGTCTAGATTTGCAAGACACGTCTGGGCCTCAACCGCAGTCTGTTACCTGCTCTCCTTTGATATTTAGGGTGCATTCCAATATCTATATTTCCATACTGTGCAGTATGCCAGAAGATAATTTAGTATGTTCCAATACACAGTATGCGAAATGTAACATGCCAAAAATACACATATGTCCTACTTCATCTGGTCAGATTTTGCCATATGCAAGTCAGCGTGCTTGTATGACCAATGTGATCCATAATCCTTAGTGCAGCTTTATGACATGCAAAATGGTGTTGTGCACAAGTACAAACAAGCTTGAGCCGCAGAAATGACATCATTATGATGAAGTTCTATGTCCCACTTGCATGAAACAGTACATCGTTTGTGGGGGCAGCTGTATGATGCACTTAAAGTCAAAAGAAAAATTGTAGTGATGAAAGTATCTATATTTTGTATCTATAGTTTCTATATTTTAATCACTGTAACTAATAATTTCTGAATTTGTGTGAACACACACACACACACACACACACACACACACACACTAGTATTGTTACTGGAAGTTTTCATTTTATTCAGAAACTAGTTCTGTGTACATTTTCCACTCCTCTTTTTTTCCCCTCAGTTTTATATCATTGAATAACTTTGGGTTTAAAAATGTCTCTGGAACTCAGATTGCCTTAGAAATATTTTACTTCTGTATGAGCATTTATTGATTGAAGAGTTAGAAACAAATAAATGAACAAAAGGCACTTTAATTAATAAAAAATATAATAAATCATTTCACTCCCTGTTGGTTTTTAGGTAGCCTATATGAGGAAAAGCGTTGTGCTTGTGTTTCTTTTAATCTGTAGCAGGTGTAACTGTTCATGGTTGTGGCTGGTTAAGGACTTTAGTACGTTGGTCAAGATTCTTGGTCTTCGTGGCGACACTTGTGCTCTTAATTTGAAGGTCGGAGGTTTAGTGCCAAATGGTTTCTGTTAACTTGTCAGTTGGTTTCGCGGTGATTCATGCTGATGACTGTCGCCTGCAGGAGTGTCCAGATCCCCTCAGCCGCCTTTAAGTAACGCAGAAGTGGCTGAAACTCGTTTCTCCTCTTTCTCTGTTTCCAGGAAGGCGCGTCGAGAATCGCAGTCACAGAGCCAGGACAGAAAAGGACCGAAAAATGCCCAAAGCGGTGAGTAGCTTCTTTATGTATTGATATTTTCATCCACTACTTACTCTATCGTTGTATAGGAAGACAAGCCTAATTGAAACGTGACATGTAACGCTTCCAGCGAATATAGCTTCTAAAATGAACTAAATCGTAAGGTCTTCACCTTACTATATTAAGCCCTGTGAAATGGCATACGTTGTAAACTGCGCTATATAAATTGAATTAAATCCTCTGTTCAAGAGTTCTCTTAATTCTGATTACATTCGTCCAATAAAAAAGTCTGCTAAATATGCACTGAATTGTAGCCTTTGCATATTGATGCATATACTGACACTGAATAGGGAAATTATGTTTACTGTTCAAATATAACAGTAAAACTGTACTGTACTTTTTTAAAAACAACATTTGACTCATTCACTACTTAAGTGTATTCAGCGTCAATTCACACAGACCCTCAGTGAATGAGCCAGAAACAAACTATAGGGCTTTAAGCTACACACACACACACAGTTACACACACACACACACACACACACACACAAAATACTGAATATGTGGTTATGTCAAAGAAATGGAAAAAAAAAAAAAAGATTCTTGGGTTAAAGGGGTGTGCCACAATCACAAGCCTCTCCTACATCCTGGGGATGTCTTGTATGTTGAACACTGAACACTACTAATAACAGTTGTTTGTAGTTTATTTTGTGAAATATCCAGATATCCACAGTTGTTTGTAAAATGGTTACAGTGTATCTTTGGATTCATTCTCTGTGCTGCTGCACAACTTCATAAACAAGCAGGGTGGAAAATACCTTTATTCATATCCTGAACAGAAATTTGGGGTTGTTGGGTTTCCATAGTCTTGTTGGAAACTTGGTAAAAATGTGACATGACATATTTGATGAAGCTTCTCTGTACATATGAGGCAAGTTTTTGCCTTAAAATATTCCTGACTCACTTTACCCCACCCCAGCTATGACACACTGTACAGTTGCACATGGCACATAACCCTCCCTCAGCTCACTGTTTAGAAATGTCTGGTCTGTGAGGCACATAGCAGTAAGTATTCATTTTATTGTATCAAGGAAAATGTGATGGAAATGTGTTAGACATGGATATGTCTAAAGCATATTTCCTCATTTCTGTACACACTGAATAAAACAAATATCTATTAAAAAACTAGAATAGAAAGTTCAGAAATGCACAAAACACAGAGTAAGTCAAGTTTAATAACTAACATGTACAACAAGGATCAACATTGCAAAGTTTTTTCTTTTCTTTTTAAAAGCAAGAAATACAAAAACAGAGTCAGAAAATGTTGCTGTAATGCTGTTCAGGTCATAATGGAGCCAGGTTGCTGTTGAACAGTGCAGTATTATAATGACAATGACTAAAGCCTCAATCAGCGTCACAAAGCGTGTTGTCGGTTTGTTTAGAAAAGCCTCGGGGTTGTCATGAGTGTTGCCGTGGAAATGACATCATTACTGTCTGAGTGCAGCAACACACTGTCCACTTGCCACAAAACCACCTTTTTGGACAATCATGTCAGACTGTTGCATTTTCTATGATACTCACAGACCCTTATTTAACATTTATTCTACTGACTGTTTAATGTGTGGCCCAATGACTGGACCAGTCTTTGCTACATAGCATGAAAAATATCAACAGGACCCTTTAAGTTTGTTTTCATTAAGCTGTTCCTTTTTCTGTGTAGATTTTTTATGAAAAGTGTGAAATTAAAATACTACTTTTAGAGGTGTGAACCGACACTGTAAATAGAAACATACTGTAAGTGGGGGAATGGTTAGTTTTTAGGAAACAACACTCATAGCAACAGTCAGATGGGTGTCTTTTTTTTGTTTTGTTTTTTTACATTTGACCTATTTTCATTATCTATCAGTCAGTTCACTATTTTATTAGTTAGTTCTTAGTACAGTTCTTTACATTGTTAAAATCTTTTATGTGGACCAGCATCAAAGAAAGGAAGTAGATTCTCATATATGACAAACTGAAATCAAAGATGTTCATTGGCATTTCTGTTTTTACAATGACTGAAACAGTTACTCAGATGTCAAAATAGTTTCCGGATGATAGGCTACTCAATTAATCCAACAGATGTTGCAGCTCTAGTTTAATTCCCTACACATTTGTTTGTGTTATCTTCAGGAACAAAATGTGTGGATTAGATACTTAACTCAGTCATTAAAGTGTTACTCCAGAAAACTAGCTATGTTTAACTTTTCATACAGAAAATACCCAGAACCCTCCTAAAAATCTGTTTGATTGCAATGGGCACCTTTTTGTTAATAGAACAGATATTTTACTTTCAGATAAGTGTTGTCTGTAGAAAAAACTCAAAGAACAACACCAAGTTTCAGATTTTTGTATTTATCTCAAAATACAAACATAGATTAAGCAGATGCACTACAACCGGGTAAAGTATGCCTGCAAATTAATATGAAACTTGTTTGAGTATAAGATGCCGTTCATATACATGTTGTAATGAAATGACAACACTTATCAAACACAACATTGGTCAGTACATTATCATTGTACCTTTAAATGTTGTCTTACATTTTATTCCTGTAGCATGGTCATAAAATTCAAATGTGAAGTCATGGACGGAAGCAAACATCAAAGAGGATGAAAGTACAAACTTGCTTTAAGTTTGATTCTAACTGGCACAGAAACCTAGAGGCAGCATATATTATTACAGTTCAGATGCTTGGTGGGTTATCAAACATGCAAAAACTGTGTGTTTGCAAAAGAGAACAATTTTTGTTATTCCAGTATTATCACATTTAGGGGCAGGAGGTTGGACCAGATTTGAGGAGTTGTGAAGGCTCCAGTATTGACACTTTTTTTTTTAAACTCATGCTTCACTTATCTGAATGACACATTGTCAGAAGTAAATGATAACCTGTTTCCTTACCATAGCAGCCTGTGACACACACCATACAGGGCGTGGCCACCATGTATGGGTGTTTCCGTTTATGCACAGTCCTTTTGTTAGTATTTGTTCCTTTAAATAATAAATAACCCAATCCTACCTGGAACGCCCTTCTGGTGTGATTCACCAACGCAAAAGTAGTTTCGTGTCATTTAATAATAATTTTTCAATTATATGTGATTAAAGCTGGCAGAGCCTATAGGCCTGTCCCGGCCCTGTGCTGCTGCTCCAAATGGTAGCAGTTGTTTTTGGCCATATTACTCAGACCATTTCAGTGGAATCCTCATGGCGACTCCTATTGTAGCAGACTTTTGTAAAGCCATGCAAACTATGCAGAGGGTTAAATATTGAATGATCTTTGCTGAAGAGTACAGCCTATCCACAGTTTAACTACAAAGGTGATGACTACACTGCGCAGGGAAGGATGGTGTGTTGATACACGTTAGAGACTGGGCCTAGAATGGCTTCATTGATTAACTGGCAGAATAGTACGTGCTCTCAGTTGTCAAGTAAATTATCTCCAGAGATATGTAACAGAGCAAGTATGGCAAGTCTGTGATCTTAATAGCATTTGCTTTGGTTGTTCCTTTTTTTCTATTTCATGTAGAGTTGTCCCTTTTTTTTTGTTTGTTTCTTTTTATTCAGTACCTTGATGATGTTTAGATCAGGACAGGCATCCTATATGTAGGACAAATAAATATGAATCTGTCACTTTCAGGTTTTTCTTAAACATGAGTGAAAAAATGAGACAGAAAAGGAATTGCCTTTGAACTTTATTTCAGTAAAAATATTTTCCAAAGGTTTAATTATTGAGCTTTAGGACAGTTGTTTTTTTCAGATTAGCTAAGATAACTGTTTCCACCACACAGACATGAGATTGGTTCTAATCTTCTTATGTAATTGTCAGACAGAGGGCATATATATGCACTTCCCAAAATTTGGATAATTTCTTGTAAATGTTTTTTAATGCAACAATATTGCAAAATAAATGTTAGCAACACCTTTACACTGTTGGTCATGTGTACCCTAATCATTCATTACTGTTTTGGCCATCACTGTTTTATTCTAGCTCTTCCCTTGTGTTACCATAGCGCTTGTGATACTTATTAGGAGAGCTTTGTACCTTCTACCCAGACTGTGAAGATTTGTATCTGTTGGATGTCATTGTAGCAGGTTAGATTTGTGCCTCTGTAGCTTAAATAATTACGTCAGTTATTGCTGTAGTGACTTGTGAAGCTGGGATTTATATAGTTAATATGAACTCCTGCACTTTCCTCTAACTAAAGTTGCTCATTGTATAACTTTGAGTTCTTGCCGAGTATATTTTTAGCATATGTGTCATGTTTTCTTTACTGCTGTGAATAGCCTCAGTTTATTGTGAGTTACCGTTGTAGGACTTGGTTAGAGATCAGATATCACTCAGTGGTTTCTGTTGGCTTGGCTGCTCCACACATTCATATATTCCATTCTATGTTGGGAAGGGTGTGTTTTTCAAGATACTCCATCTGTAGCTGTTGCAAAAAAAGACCATGATGTTGAAAGACACATCTAACACTTTTAGAGTTGTAGAACCATCTTTTAAACAAGGGAAGTCTAAAAAATAACACTTATTATAACACTTTGTGATCACTCTTTGGGTAATTTTTGTGGTATGTTTTAGAATCTGGCTCCACTAGTATGTAGACGATGCTGGGGAATTTGTAGTTAAGTAAGTGTAGTTTATCCCCAATCTTTTAGCTCAGGTTTGAATTGATTCTTTCTGACTGTTAAAAATAGCCTAATTGGAAGCTAATTCCAACTTTCAAATTGTACGTAAACGCGCCATTGCAGGATAGAGGTAGAAACGCTCTGCGAGTCTTTGGCTTTGTTATTTAGAGTTTGTTGGTAAAGCAAAATTTGCCATGCTACAGCTTCTGGGTTTTGCTGATAAATGAATTACTAGCTAACCTTACTTGACACCAGCAAACACATTATTGAATACATGGGGCATCTTGAATACCCACTGTCTAGACTACTGTATTTTTACAGTATACTGGGCAGCGCAGTGGTGAGGTGCTTTTCATTCAGTGTTGTGGTTGGATTTGCTTTCTCTGCAGAATTTGTGTACAACAGTTAGTTGCTCAGCCTGTGTAGCCTCATGGGAATCAATAGTGCTTTGAGTCACCAGACTAGTCACGGCTCCAGCGTAGACATCACTTTTCCAGTGGGCATCACTGAATTTATCCACCAGGCTCAGTGCAGCTCACAATGGAGGGGAGATGAAATTAAATGTCTCGCCTCACTCTGTGTCCTCTAACCTCCTATATCATTCTCATTGGGCATTGTTAAGTTTAGTCACTACCGAGTCTTTTCACAACCCCCACAAATGCCAGAAACATTTGACATCATACCCACAGAAAAGAGTTTCAGTGTGTGCATCACTTCAGAGGAGCCATTATAAATGCTTGTGCTTTGTTGCATGACCTTTGTGTGAAATTCAGATGTCGTTTGCAGAGTGCTAACTCCCAAATCTATCACACAGAATATTATTTCTTCCTCTTGTGGGACGCAGTTGATATCAGTTTTTATTATTTTGTGTCGCACGCCAGTCATACTATTTAGAATTAGTTTGGTATTGGACATTAAACATTGTGGTAAATGGAGACTAAATTCTCTGCCTGTAAAGCAGGTTTCAGTGAGATTGGCTTCCTCCTTTGTATGAACCAATCACTCTGATCAGTCATTATCCAGAGTTCTAAAAGACATGCCTCATTTCAGTGAATAGGGATGAATGACTGATGTTACTTTAGTCTAACCATCTGGAATAACACCGATTGTGCCATTTATTAGCCTGTGAATCTAGTGTTAGGTATGCCTCTTGTTTTGTATTCAGAGAAATCTTAATATTTCTTTACTTTCACATTTTATGAAATGAAATATTGGAGCTATCACTGAAAATGGTAAACAGTAACACCTCAGATTTTGCAGAAGGCTTCACTTCAGTCAGCACATCAGTCTCTGAGAAAGCAGAGCCGGGTCTGTTTACTCTGCAAATACACCCCCTTTCCAAACAGACACAAACACACACACACCAATGCAGTGTTCTGCAATCAGTTAGTTTGGCATGCTTTACTTTGTATTGGTTCATGCCTATGAAAACTATTCTGTTACTTTGGGTCAGCGTTTGAACTTATTCAATTTTTTCATGTTTTTCCACAGGTCAATGTTCGCGTCACCACGATGGACGCTGAGCTGGAATTTGCCATCCAGCCCAGCACCACTGGCAAGCAGCTGTTTGACCAGGTAGAGTGCATATTGTGCCTGCACTGACTCATTAACGTAGTGTTACCCTCTAAATATCTTGTGAGTTTGACTTTTAAAGCTGTTACAGACAAAATTGTGTAGAAAAGTTTAACATTTTGGCATCAGCTTTTGCTAGCTAGCCTGGCTTTGTGCCATGAGTAGAAAAAAATCCACATACCAGCACTTCTAAACCTCACTAATAAACATGTTTACTCTTTCTTGGTCAAAAGCAGTTTTCAGTCAAGCAGTGGAGACCAATGAGTTTTTACAGAGTAGTCAGTAAATCTAAATGATTATTTTTCTTTAAAAAAGAAAAAAAAAGCCAAAGTGATCATTTTATTTCAATTCATTTTGTTGTTCAGTTTTCAGTTCAGGTTGGAGCTATGAGGAGAAAAGATTTTAAAAAAGCTCTGAGCGCCTAATGATCAGACAGCACTTGCAGTGGTTTTGCCTTTTCTGACAGTACATCTTCCAGATTAGCTCAGATTTGTTTTCTTGTTAGGTGATAGGGATTTTGTTCTGCAGCTGTGATCTGCCATCCAAACTGTGGACAGTGTACAAAACACTTTTTTGTTGTGTAGTTTGTGAAGTATCCCTAGACTTTCTAAGCCTGGGGTCTCTGGAAACATCTATCCACCACCGAGTTAGACACTGCTGCAGCTGCCATTTTCTGTAGCACTGTAGCACTGAGTGCACCCGACCAATAACAGGAGCCAAAAACAACTGACATCATCACACAGCAATTACATTGTGATACAGAAGAACAACACCTGTTACAGTAAAGAATTTTAGAAATGAAGTGAGAAACTAGGGTTGGTTTAAAGTATTGATGTCCATACACTTTCAGCACTGACATATCTGATTACAGCGACTAATAGGGGTAGCACCACATTTGTGTTTTAAGTCTTGCCGACTCTGATGTTGCTTCATACTTTTGCTGCCATGAACAGTCACAAACTGCTGCACCCTACATTATCATGTGATGTCACTGACATAATCTGTGTTAGGAGAAAGTGTGTGCCCTCAGTTTTTGGCATCAAGAGTCCTTTCAGTCTGTATTATTAATGGTTTCAAGTGATGAAAAATGACAGTTTTACATAGCTGTGGTGAACAAATTGAACTTGAGGCATTTATCAACTAATAGTTAATGGTACAGGGTTAAGCTAACAGTAGTGAATGAAATCTGTGTGGTAAACAACACAGTGTCAGAGTAAAAGGTGTGGCCACAAAAGGAAACATTTTCCTTTTTTGGTTGTAGCTCTCTAGTGCAGGACATTGTGTTTCACCTAATACTTGTTCTCTACTGATTATCAGTTCTTGACAACTCACTCCAATTTTCTTTCATTTATCTGATTATTTAAAAAATGCACTATGTCTTGTTGTGAATAGGTTGTTTTATTTATTTATTTATTTAATTAAATAAATGAATGCTGCTACTATTTGACCTCACTTGGATTGTGAGGTCAAATAGTAGCAGGGTACAGGGTACACACCTGATGAAATTAATTTTAATGTTAGTTATTATATTATTTTCCCCTGTTACAGAGCTACAGGTCGCTATCTTACTGAAGAAGAATGATATTTTAATTTGCATTTTCCTCTAGTTATACGAGGTTATACTTAAGGCCAGTAGCTACAATCCACATGTAGATGACATGTCATTAGTGTGAGCTTCTCTGTGTCTTTATGACAGCGCCAGGGTAGCAAAGGCATTGTTTTAGCCATTTCCTGCATAACTCGTTTTTCAAAAGCAAGTGTAGCTGAATGTGTGTATTGTGACTTCACGTCAGGGGATTCACCTTTCATCTCAGCTGCATTACAGAAATGATGTCATGTTATGCATATTGCCTCCAAAAACCAAACTACAACAACAGCTATATACAGAAACTATTATATTTACTCTCTCTGCTCTCTATGAATTCCTGTAACTACTTGTTAGAATGGCTCCCAGTGATGTGTGTCACGGACTGTCTCTCACTCCCTGTGATAGAGACCTGTCTGTACAATTTACTTGTTTCAGCATGGGATACTATCTATAAAGTTCACTCCTTGTTTGAAGACAGCACTTACAGATTAATTTGGCTGACATTTAACTTGAGTTGCCATGTTGACTAAAGTCTGTCAGCACCCTGATTTAGTTTTTTAATGGGTGGCTTGGCAGTAATCAGTTGCAGAAACAGAAGTGCACTCAGAGTGTTTAACAGGTTCTGTGGAAATGCTGAGTAACAGCACTGAGCTCATTCACAGGGTGAGTGTGAGGCCTGGTGTGGCCTGTGTGGTCAAAGCTGATCATAGCCTTAGTCCATGTCATGTCGCTCTTAAAGAGAAATGCCTGCCACTCCCCAACACACCCTCATGCAGTTTCACTTCCATATGAATGTGCACTGCTGCTCCTTTCATTTTTTCCTTACGCCACAGGGAGAAAAATCACTCTTTTTTTTATGATGGTCACATTTTGCAGGTTAGATATGCTGTTAAGTTATATCTGTCTTAAGTGTATTGCCCCTTTTTAGACCACATTAGCCAACCTCACTGGAAGCCATTGTAACACTCCCTTAACTGTTCGCTTCAGTCGCAGTAAACGTATGTTCTGAAAGGAATGGATTCATTTCCCGAGGTCAGTACCCACCACTGCTTCCCATATCAAAAGACAAACTCCTTCATCTCCGGACTGGTCGATCCCTGTTTGGGGCCCGACTGGTTAAATCCCTCCCTTCCCCTCCTCAGTCACTAGAGGACTCTGGATTATTCAGCCTTGAGGATACAGTGAGTAATGCTGTTTCAGCCCAGTGGCATTCCTCTCTCTCACCGCAGAGCCTGAGCTCTCATAAACCAAGAGGAGAGACTTTCACTCATTGGCATGACTATAAGACAAGGCTGCAGACTTATGATATGCTAACTTTTCCTTTGTGGCACTACAATTTTTGCTCCTCAATATATGTAAAAAGATATTTTTCAAGTAAGAGCTAAAAAAAAAAAAAAACCTATTGAATTCAGCATTCTCAAAGAACGGCCTTACAAGGTATTAAAAAGTCCTCAATTTAATATATTAGTCTGAAATATTTTCTCTAGTTTATCACATACAGTAACATTAATTTTTTTGTATGTGGCTACAGGCTGTCAGGAGACGCTACACACCTGTTAACAAAAGCTGGGATTCTTTCAACAGTGATTTGAACTGCAATATGTTTTATATGAGTTTTGTTGTTGTTGTTGTTGTTGTTTGACTAATCCATTTATCCATTTTCTGCCACTGTACCAATCCAGATTTGTAACTGTAGTAAATTATATCATTGGAAATTATTGTTAAATTCTTATATCCTTATAATAAGTCTTCATTACTAGTTTTTCATTATTTTTTTGAGTATAAGACTGTAAAATTGGGATTTAATTACACGCTATGAGATTATCAAAAATGTCAAATGTCATTCCATAACGTAGAAACCAAATTTGGCGTTTGAGTGTTCTGATTTCAGTGACATACAGCAAGGCTTTGGAGTTCTTGACGTACATTGGAGCAAACTCGCAGCCCATTTAAGTCAAGGCAACCTGCCAAACCAACCTGCTGTGAGATCAGTTTACCAAACTTGGGCCCCCAGATTCAGATTTAATCCTTCTCTAATGAACAGTGTTATTTTTGGTAACCTTTACATGCAGGTGTTCATAATATGCACAGCATGTCATCGATGATAGTTTGTCTGTCAGATGTGTTGTCATAGCTTGCACTGAAAAATGGTTACCTCAGTTGTTCATTTAGGTATCTGTCTAGAAGTCGTTCTCTTTCTCTGTCTCGCACTCTGAGACCAATGAGTTTTATTACACATGAGATGTAGTCGGAAGTATGCTCTTATTTCAGGCTTCTTCTGGTGCTAATGGTTTGCATTAAATACAGTTCATCAGAAGGTCCCTGAATCAAAATCATTGATCTGTACGTCCATAGGTCAGTTCACCCTGGATTTTTTATTGGCGACTAACAGGCAGAAAGTTTGATTAGAATTTTCATCTTGGCTGGACCTTATCGCTGAAAATGAGCTTGAATAAAGTGCCGATATGTTGACTCAAACTTTACCCAGGCAACTTGGCCCCTCACCTGATGACTAGGTGGGCATTTAAAGAAAGACTTGGCAGAGATAGTCCAACTTAATAACACACATTTACACAAAAGACAAGATTTTCCATACTGTGCTGTTGGAAAGTGTATACAGTTGAGAAAAAAGTGTATATATCAAGGCAGTAGTGAGATTTCAATGATTCCTATAACTCTCAATTTTCTACGATGGAATGATTGAAGCACATGTATTTTGTACAAAAAAACAACAACATACATTTTAGTTTCTTCATAGATTTATTATTGGTCTTTTGGAAATATGACAAAGAACTCAAAAATATACATAGAAGTGCTAGTATTTGATTAAATGTTCCTTGGCCATTTTCACTTGGTTGCAGTTTTGAAACAGCCTTATAAGTGGTAGGCAGCAGACTCCCCACTTCAGTCTTTGCAGTCTGTTATGGAGTCAGACAGGATGCTGCTTATGCAGCACACCCTTGGTTATACAGTTTCACTCCTCCTCCTTGGCCAAACAATGGGACCACTTTGTTTAAAGACCAGCCCTGGTTGCTTTTTCATCTGCTGCAGCATATTAGAGCCAGCAGAGATGTTAGCTGTGTGATACTTCAGTGCAAGTAGAGAAAACATGGTTTATTTAATGGTCAATTTAGCAAAGGGTTAGTGAAAAGAACTACAGAAGGTTCTTCATCATCAAAACTTTTAGTCTCACTTAGCTGTGAGAATAATTATTAATCAGCATTGCTTAACCAATGAATGGCTCAATAGAAAATTAATTTACAACAGTTTTTCTAATTGTTTGAGCATTTATGCCATTTTGCTAAGAAATCAGTAAGGACTACAATGATTGTTTGACAGTAGTTACCAGGGAACCACCTCCCTGTCCAAAATCATTTAACCGAAAACATCAAACATGCAGTATTTAAAGAGAGCACTTTTGTCAGTCCTGGCAGTAGTTAACTGCATTGCCTTAGCCATCTCCACAGTTAGGCATAGGAATGTGTAATAGTGTGAGGGTAGTCCACTAGATTAGTCTGGTACCTGAGTATGTTATCTTAGTTACATTCTTCCAAAATCTATTCTACTGAATTCTACTGAATAGGTTTGAGTTCTCATCATTTGGCCAGACTAACAAGACACCTTGCCTTCTGGAAAGTTTTGACTGCAGATTTCCATAATGTTTTTGTCATTTGTTTTGACCAAAATTTTTTCGGTTTATCTAAAATGAGCAGCAGAGTTTGTAGCATTGAAAATAAATGTTGCAGCCCTACTATGTTTGAAAACTTGCTTTTTCTGGACAGGTGGTAAAAACCATCGGCTTACGTGAGATCTGGTACTTTGGACTTCAGTATATGGATGGCAAAGGTTACCACACTTGGCTAAAACTGGACAAAAAGGTAAGATTCAATCTAAAAATATGTGGTTGTTTTTATATTTAATCTCAGAGTAATAGGCTTTTTTTAATGCTCACATTAAGGAAAAATAATAATATAATGTGTCATGAACAGTAAATAAACTAGACCAGATAGCCCTATTTACACTTAAATGTGACTTATAGACTTAACAGTTACGTAACAGTATCATTCTGTTTTCTGTCATTTTTGCCCTTTTATTAAAGTGAAAGTCCATGTACCTACTGTCTGCATACATGTATACTTAGATTTTGCAACACAGTTCTCTGTGGAGTCGTATGGAGTAACAGAGAAAGAATGTATTGTTTTGAGGGGACGATACAATCAGAGCTCCAGTGTTTGCCATTCAGTCAATCAGTAGCCACCATATTGCAGTATGTGTATGTGCTGTACAGTTCCACTTCTGACATAGCAGCTGATTTTGAAGCCCTGCCTGGTTTTTGTCTCTGCTGGGGTGGGGGACTCTTTTTAACCCAAACTGTCTCAGTTTCCCTGAGTAAACACAAGTTACCTGGACTTCACTAACTGTTGTTCTTGAGTTTTGCATAATGCAACTAAGCAAAGAGGCCAGAGGATGACACCATGCCTGCAAATAACACAACTCCAGATGGTCAAGATTGTGTTGTTTTCATAGTTTCTGCATGATCCTTCAACTTAGCAGCTCCAGGGACCTGTTTGATTCTGTATTAATACTATCTGGAGTGGGAATCCACTGATTTCACATTTCGAAGTTTATTTTCATGTGTTAGGGAGTGTTTTGTCTCATACAGTTGTACAAAAAGTTCTTTTGTGACTCTGGGGACTCGTAGCAAATGTTGGCTGGGGTGGAAAATGTAAAAATGTTCCTCATCTTTCCTTAAGACTAGTGGTTTGAGAATAGGTGCTACTGGCGCAACACATCTAAAATTCAAACTGTAGAAGGCTAGATTGCATTGTCGGTAATGTACTTAGCAAGTTTTGACGAGGAGGATGAATGTGTGGAATAAAGTGGACAAAATTCCCATTTCTGCGGCATCAGCTTTGATATTTCAGTCTGTTGTGAATCTGACAGTGTTGTAGTTATGTGAGTGCAGTTCTACATTACAGGGCTATTTTAGAAGTTAGACCTGACTCTACAGGCTCCTATGACCATTAAGCACAGACTGTAAAACACGGTGAAGAGATTGAAGCTGCTTCAGTCTAATGGATTTGAAGAGAATTGTTATAATAAATGCCTTATTTACTGAAACAATGGTGAGAAACTATACTAATGTATCTATCCTCTTTGCATTTTATAGTCATAAACAAGGATCATTTAGAAAGACAGAGAGAGAGAGCGAGAGAGAGCGAGAGAGAGCGAGAGAGAGAGAGAGAGAGGCTTGCCTCAGTCAGCAGGAGTAAACTGTATGCTGACACAGCTCACCAGCAACACTCACACTGGAATATTCCCAGCCCTATTCTAAATCCCATATAACTCCTTCAATATTATTTATACGTTTATATACTTTATACAGCATCATGATTTTCAGCAGGACTTTGGCTTAGGTTCTGAATTATACACTTGATGAACTGACAGTACTGAACTTCAGCTTGCAGTACATTAGCTTTTTAATTTAACATCAAAGAGATACTTTAGCAATACTTCTAGAAAATATCCTTATTTGCTGTTCTCTCAAGAGTTAAAGAATAGAAGAGTGATCCAGGGGCTTCCTCATTACCACTTGTAGTAGCTCGAGCTAGCAGTCAGTTAGCTGAGCTTTTCAGCCTCTTATCCAGCTTTCCACAAGAAAGTGAACAAACACATTTAGAATATCATTGTATTCCTATTTTACTGACATAATTTGTTATATGATTCAACTGTGTTTTTAATTTTGCTTCAGGTGTCGTCTCAGGATGTGAAGAAGGAGAACCCACTGCAGTTTAAGTTTCGGGCCAAATTTTTCCCTGAGGATGTTTCTGAGGAACTGATCCAGGACATCACCCAGAAGCTCTTCTTCCTGCAAGTGAAGGAGAGCATCCTAAGTGATGAGGTTTACTGTCCTCCAGAGACAGCCGTGTTACTGGCCTCCTACTCCGTTCAGGCAAAGTTTGGAGACTACAGCAAAGAAGTCCACCGGCCTGGATACCTGCTGTCTGAACGACTGCTGCCGCACAGGTTAGATGTATCAATGTACTTAAAACAATGATTCGAGGATATCACAACCTTAATTTAAAAAAGAAAAAAAAAAGTTATGTAGTAATACACTTGGTTTATTAGCTTAAAGGCACTGCACTTGGCACTGACAGACAATATTTTAATTGCATAAAGAATAAAGTAATTATTAGATAAGAGGAAAGATGCAAGATGAAGATAGTACACGTTTATTAAACAGCTAAAAGATGCTCCAATCAGCAGCACTGGTGAACCTGCAACAAAGAAAATCACCATCTCCACACCCAAGTAAACTAGACAGGAGATGCAGTTTATGTAACAAACACTATTTCTAATTATTAGACAGTATTGCACCCATCAAGAAAATGTAGTGCTTTAGTTGTGCAGCTTAATAAGCTTCCCAGCACACAATGACTCTTTTAAATTCACATTTCAAGACATTGAAACTCTGGTGGTTTCTGTGTGTCCATCTCATGTGTCTAGAGGTGGTTGCCAAACAACGAAACAGTTAGGCTCAAATAACCAGAACAACAAATCTGATGTACTTAAGATGGCAATCTTTTCTATATCTTGCTGGTTTCTAGTAAAAATAGAAGAGATTTTTTTGTGTTTGTGCATTTAAGTATGTAAGTAGTATTTCTGTAAATTCCAGTGCACTGGGTGTTGCCAGTGGTGTTATTTGTGCCTCCCCCCCCCCCCCCGCGCCACTGTGATTTCCGACAAGTAATCAAGTACTAACTGAGACCAAGACTATGCATGAGGGGAAAAAAAGCAAAAAAAAAAATTGTTGCATACACTTGAATGAAAATGTTCACAATGTTACATAGCAGATTATGTGGTTTGTTCGTGGTTTCTGTATGGTGATGTAGCTGACTGTTGTACTTCTATCTCTCTGCCTGTAGAGTCCTGGAGCAACACAAGTTATCTAGAGAACAGTGGGAGGAGAGGATTCAGGTGTGGCACGAGGAACACCACGGGATGCTGAAGTAAGTAATGCAAACAACTTTGTACAGTGTACAGTATAGTGCAATACCAGTAGGAACTGGAAAGACTGATCATACCTTTTATGTCCTCATCTGTGTCTATTTTTGCAGGGAGGATGCTATGCTGGAGTACCTGAAAATTGCCCAGGACCTGGAAATGTATGGAGTCAACTACTTTGACATCAAGAATAAGAAGGGAACAGAGCTGTGGCTGGGAGTGGATGCTCTGGGACTCAACATTTATGAGAAGGATGACAAGTAAGCACGTTAACAGCCTTGCTCTTGCTGCCTGAACTGGCTCTTATTTTTTTAGCATGTTGCCACCTGCAGCCCTGTGACACAAAGTAGAACTGGCTGCACCACGTCCATATCTGTAATTATTCACTGTTCTTGTTTGTCAGCAGACAGTATCACAAGAGTAACAATGAAGGCCAAATGGATACAGACAGACTTTGATACTTAAAACCAGCAGCTTACTTTAGGTTCCTAGTTCCACTTCACTCTGGTGGCAAGATAATGTTACAGTTTAGCAAGGCAGCTTCCTCGCAAGGCAGCTTCCTCACAAGGCCACTAATTGAACCTGTACTGGCTGATTCTTTGGCTCCCCAAATCTGCATGATTTCATTACTGTAACTGCCATTGTGTTGAAGTTCATCCAGTCTTTCATTTAGCCTTACTTTAACTCAACAGAGGTATGAAAACTCCAACAAGATTGAGAAACACATTGTTCAAAAACATACTATGTCCTTGTGTAAGCCTGTCTCTGGGATCAACATAGAAAGCCTCTCCTCCACGGTGCCCTCTGCTGTAACCATGGCTACATCAACTGGTTTTTCAAGCTGTGCGGCACTTAAGAATGTGAGGCTAACCTACAACACTGTCTCTCAAATGAGGGCAGCTGGCCCACAATGCAGTAGTGCAGCCAAGGTCTCACTGAGGTGCAGCCTGAAGCTGAATTAACTCTTTAGGCACCTGCTGCTCCACTAACCAAAGTGCTGCTCATTTCATAGACAGAGTTTCTAAGTTCTTGAGCCAAGTCTTTGTACTTACGAGCACATATTGACAGTGTAGCTATTCTGATATCAGATTCACTTTTTTTAATATTGGTTTAATTAAAAAAAATGACCATTAATCCATCCATCCATCCATTATCTATACACCGCTTAATCCTCACAACGGG